AATTTTTTTTTTTTTTTTTTTTTATATTGGTCTGTACGATCTTCTTGTTTTCCTGTCTCTTTGAAGGTGATATTATCAAAAAGGGATTGTAATGAAGTAATTTGCTACTAACCTACTGGAGCGATCCGTTGGGTCAAGACACAATTGTCAAATTCCATAGGCAAGAATTAATGTGCATTTAGTAAGTAACATGATATAAGTGACTTACGAGCACCTGAATTCTGAAAGGCTGAAAATATATATAAATTAGTGAATCACCGGGATATATGTAGGTAAAACAGCATGTCATAACAGATACTAGTATATAGCAGTTGGGTTCCATTGGGGTCAAAGCCTCTGGGCGTCCAAGTAGTTTGACGAACTCGTATGGAAAATTTCTCCAAAGGAGAAACCAAAAAGAAAAAAAAGAGGAACACTTGATTATACTCGGAGATTGCTGAGCCAACCCAAGAAAGGTTAGAAAATAAAAACTATCTTTGCACTCTGCAGAGCATAAAATAAGAAAATCTGACTGACAAAAGGCAAGAAAAAAACGGTACAAGTCCTTTAGCTCCACAATAGATATTCCCACCTATAATTATTATAACCAGCTCGTTCCACGGGAAATTCCCCTGCTAACCACTCGAGCCACCAACTCATCAAATTATATTCATGTACTATATCACATACAGAGGCGAATGCATTTAGCTGAACTCATTTCATCATTTCGAACCATGTATACGTATACAAAAGGAGTTTAAAATACATACATTATTACATTATGAACACACTGACTCTAGATTGTGAATTCCTATCTGATCACAAAGCACGCTTACCGTACGGAATTCCACGACGCGACTTACTTTTTTTGCCAATACCTCTACACAATCCACATCCATATACCTTAGGAGACGGCGGTTCTATAGCTGGTGACACTCTGCTGGTGCCGTTGGATCGGCTCTTCACCGTTGATCCAACGGTTATTGATGAAGCCTTCACCAGCATATTCTCCTCTTTGGGTTGTCCCTTGGAATGAGAAGCTTTGTTACATTTAGTAGTTTCGTACTTATAGTTTATATGCTGTTTCAATTCACCTGACAAGAATTTGTCGTCCCATGTAAGTCCAGAGGAGCCTTGTCTGCGGAATGAAACAGCCGATCTTTGCAACCCAGCCATCAAAAATTGATGAAATACTGCAACCCTTTTGGCCTTGTCAATCTTTTTTTGTTAAAGCTTGAATTCTTCTTTGTTGTTCTTGTTTTTATACTCTTCTCTATCTCTAAAGATCTTTCTTGTGATTGTATCCAAACTTTTTTCTACATGCATCAAGTAAAGGCAAAGATTTATAGAAAGACAGGAGAAGAATACTTAAGAGAGGTAAAGGAAAATCAAATATGGCATACGGGATGGTCGTCCTCTTGCTTGACAACTCAGTCAATTGCTTGTTTGCATATTTCAGCTATTTAGTTATTGCATAGAATTATCAGCTTGATTTATAGTGATTTTTACATTTAATTGGCATTTGACTGGTAACTTATCAGTCAGTCTTGATACTCTTGACATGTATTTCGTTTTAACTATACGTATTCACAATATATATATTTTGGACATACTTGAAACCCCAACTACAAGTACGTAACTTGTGCAACTAAGTTAAATTACAGTGTAAAAAGATTTTAGACGACTGATGTAAATTGTAGAAGTTCAATCTGTTTTATTTACGTTTTTCTTAATACTCGTCATCCAGCAAAAGAGACTGGATCCGTTGACAAAACACCTGTTTTAACTGATTAATCAAAAGTCCAAGTCCTGTGATTTTATATTTGCCTTTGACGGAGGAAATCTAAAATGGTATGCTCCGGTCTGTTTCATTCATCATTTTCTTTATATATATTTTCTTCACATAGTTAACAGAGAAGAAAGAGAAGTAATACTAAACAAATTTTTTAATTAAAAAAGTAAATTTAATGAATTAGCTAAGTACAACATTTGAACATAAAATATTATGGTTCTTGTCATCTCCACTTGGATAACTGCTTGGAAATAAAATGCCCCTTCTGATATCTAATGTTGACAAGTTGACTACTCCATTTTTTTTCTTCTTTCCAGAATTTTCTGTGATTAGGCTGTTGAATTTGGTGATGGTAAGTGGTTCAATATGTGGATTGCATTTTTTTCTTTTTCGGTTGTGGAACCGAAGCTCATTGACCCGACTAATGAGAGTTCAAGTCGAATATATCCGCTAAGTGAAATAAAGCCTGCTACATACAGAAGCGGATCTAGGATTTCAAGAGGATGAGTGCATTATTATGAAGAGGTGGATCTAGAATTTATATTTGACGGGTTTGACTTTTGTCTCTTACCATGAATTCACTACACTTTTGAAATTATAGGTTCAAAATTATATTCTTTTTGAAATTTTAGTAATTTTCACATATATATTCATAATTCGTGCCGAAAATAAGACCGTTCAGAGTAAAATTTGAACTATCAATTCACTTGTAAAGGTGCACCCAATAATAATTGCACCATAACTCCATAAGAGTCTTTGAGTATGGGTTCATGCACATATATTTAAGTAATTTTAAAGAAATATAACATTGTTATACATGGTTTAGGGAGAGTAGTATGGGTTCACGTTAACCCATATCCCTCAACTTGGATATGCCACATAAAGATAATTTTATACCTCCAAGATTTGAATCTGAAATCTTTAATTAAGTGTAAAGAAAATTTCAACCTATCTCACCAACCAGAACAGTTAATACATGATTGTCAAACAGTATCACATCATCGGAGTTATCATTAGACAAGGTGTATCGTGGTCTTTACAAAACGGTAAAGATTCTACTTGCTTTTGACATTTTAGATTGGTTAAATGGTAGAAGCGAAACTCCAGAACAAGGTCAGTTGGTTACTAATCCTAGGAAAATTTCAAGAATAAAATCAACAGAATAGCCTAATAAATATTTTTACTTGTCCCATTTTATCATCCCGATCCCGATACTCTATGAAATTTCCATCTAGACACTCATAGTTATTTAAACTTTAAACATATTACTTTAAACCCCCTTGACCATTGACTAAGCATACAGGCAACTTCAAGACTGAGTTAGACAAAATACGTGAATTTCACGCGAGCGTAAACATAAAAAAGTTAGATTAAAAATGATTAAAACAAGAAAAAAATAAAAAGAAAAAGTAAATAATAAAAAATAAAATATATCTCATCTTTCTTCTTTCTTCTTTCTTCTTTCCCCACCCCACCCCCACTTCTTTTTCTCTTTGTACCCTTTCCCTCTCCCGTTCTTTCCCCGCTCCTCCTTCGTTTCTTTTCGCTTTCTCCCTTATTCCTTTCCCATTAGTCCTCTCCCTATTTTTACAAATTTTCGGTCAATATTTGAGAAAAAATATTAAGAAATTTTTTCTGAAAAGCAAACACCATTAGTATTTTTGAGATGAATTAAAGCTATGTTCATTACAGTGTTGAATCTATTTTGGGTAACTGTTGTTTCATGACCAATGGATTCTCAGGTGGTGGAGCGAATATTTAATGGTGGACTTTTATTTGATGGAGAGAAGCTGAAAATCTAATTTTTTTGACAGTTTATGGTGAGGTGTTGGAGATGTAGTGGTTTTGGGGGGTGGAGAGTGGTTGACATCTGAGCCAAGTTGGGCAAAGCTCGTCAAGATCAGTTCGACCTAATCGAGCAGGTAATGAAAATCTTTAAAGCTCATGGGCTCGATTTGGGAACGGCGGCTAACATTTCAAGCTCACAGCTGCAGTAGAAGAACGAGGTGATCGGGCAGCTCCGCGAGGAGGTCGATACGATGAAGGCAGAGACCTTGGGTTGGAAAGAAGGTATGGACCGCTTTGCTGCAGAAAAAGGTACTACTTTATCCCAATTGTCATCGGTCGAAAGTCAGCTTCGAGGCATGAAAGAGAAGAGCTCGGCTCAGGAAAGAAAAATAGCGGAGCTCGAAGCTCGATTGGCTTCCGAACTTGCAAAGGCCAAATCTGAAGCCGAAAAAGCTAAAGCCGAGGCAGATGCGATCGTGACCGTCTACCGAGCTGATGTTGAAGCAGCTCAAGTACAAGAAAGAGAGGCATCCGAGATCGCTCAAACTCTAGCATATTGGATTGCAGGTCTTTGTGAAATTAGGTGGGGTGTACAATGTAAATTGTGTGGATATATAGGAATATTGAGGAATTTCAGGGGTGGTGCATTGGCATTAATGGAGGAAAGGAGTTCAAAGTGATTTACATGGTGGATTTGAAGTAGTGGGTAGCGACGTTTGACAAAAATCTTTGAAAGAGAGATGGGCGATGGAAAGTTGGAGAATGGTGGGTTTTAGTTGTCCACGGTGGTGTTGACGCTTGTAAAGGCAGAAAGTTGTGGTGTTGTTTCTACTCTAAAAAATAGAGATAGGTGGTCAAGGGTGGGGGAGGAGTGGTTAAAAATTTTGAAATTAAAGTAAAAAAACGAATGATGTGTCATTAAAAATCTGATGTGGACGATGATGTGTCATCCACATTGTGTGTTTGTAGAACACGCGAGGCTAGAGGGGTTTAAAGTAATATATTTAAACAACTATGAGTGTATAGAAGAAACTTCTTAAAGTATTGGGACCGGAATGACAAACGGGACAAGCAGAAGTGTTTATTAGGCTATTCTTTCCCTATACTTTACATCAATCTTCTTTTATTAGTTTACTAGTGTATTTATCGGCGCTTCGCGCGGTCGTTAAAAGAATTAAAATAAAGTTAAATTTTAATATCATTACTTTTATAAAGAAAATAAATCTTTACTAATTAAACATATTATAATTTTTTTATAAAACAGAATCCATGAATATTTTTTAATATGACTTGTTGACACTTATGCTTCACATGATTCACATTTTTTTCCGTTTCTAGAGATGTAGAAAAAAAAACTAATAAAGGGAGGACACAAAAGGAAATAGACAAAGAAAAGAAATGGAAAAAAGAAAAACAATTAAATGTAACTTATCATTGATATTAATTGGATCATTTTTTGTTCTTCTTTTCCTTTGCATACCTCAAACCTACTTTTTTTCTTTCATATTCTGATCCGACAACCAAAAAATCTCTAGCTCTACTCCTAAAATTATAAATGAACTACACATTTCAGATGACATATATTTTTCTTTCTCATCCCACGCAAACTTGGGGTGATAGGGGATGTGAATGGCTATGAGATTTATGAAGAGTACTCAAATAAATAGAGAGGACATTTTGTAACGGATGAAACTAAACAATTAGTCATGAATGTTTAATAAAATTCAGTAAATAAGATGGAATATGATTAATCCTCCAATTAGGAGAATAAAGGGAATTTAAGGGTAATATACATATTATATCCTTAAAAAAAAAAAAACTAGCAATACAAATTAGACTATTATTTGATGAGCCAGATCAAGAAAGCTCTTGTGAATGCTCAGAACACCTTATTGACATGAAAGACCTTCTAAAATGAATTGAAGGAAGAAGTGTGGTAAGCCAAGCATAATATAATCCTTTCTAGCACTACGAATATGTAAGATGTGTCTAATGAATATATCGTACAAATTATTACACTCGACTTATTTAGGCAAATATTGTGATATCTGTCATCATATACTTGGGGACCATTATACCCTTCAAATAATGTCACTCGTCGTATCACTACATGATAGATTTGCATCCTGAATGTTACCTGTCATTCTAAAAATTACAAGATTAGTTCAATGAGAAAAATTAACAACTGCTATTTACAGCGGAGCAAATTTTGGTACTTTTTCGTTCTGAAGTGTAGTCAGCCAGCAGATTATCATTTACTTTATGCTTCATTCTGCCAAATTCTTAAAAACTTGTCAATTACAAATACAAACAAATTAAGAGAACATTTTAAGGAAGTTGGAGAAAGAAAAACATAATTATTCCATATTCGCTCTACAACAAACGCAACTACTAAACAAATTGTAACGTAGGAAGTACACTATATATTAGTACTTGTTATGGAATGTAACGGTGAAAGAAATACCATGAGATATTTTAAATTCTAATATTTCATGAAAAATATGATGTATATTTTAAATGTTCACGTGCAATTGACCTTAAATCCTGCTTACAGATCCATGTCTATAGGGTAAGGAGTTACTTACATACTAAGTTT